ACTCTCTTTCTCAATGCTTCCAGTACTTGTCTCCTACTAGCAGTAGGAGTAGTGGTCAGCCAGTGTTGAAACATCTTTAATGTCTTGCTTGTATCATCATGTCCTTGTAACTGCTCAATACCATCCAATCTCTTATCATCAACGTGTAGCAGTGTACCCAAGAGATACCACTTAGTACGGACATCAATGTGTTCTATTAGCTCAGGAAGAAGAGGAGCAGAAGACAAGAAAGCGTTGAAAGACCTTTCTTCGAGTTGAAGCCGAGACAGTTGAGCCATTGCTTTATTGAGGGAGAGATTGAGGGCAATATTGCCACACCTTGACAAAATGCCACACCCAATGACCCAATCTCAATCAACCAAATATCAAAAATTTATAACAAGTTGCCAGAATGCAATGCAAGTATACATAAAAGTAGGTACTACAAAATCATATCAAAATTAAAAATGAGTTCCATCAGCATATTTATACAAAAAGTCTAGCTTATTCATTTTAGAAATGAATTGATCAGAGCATGCTTGTTTGTGCTTTTCATCCAATATGAGTTTTCCAAGTGTATCATTACTCTTTAGAGACTTTACTAATTGCAATACTCCCTCAGTATCAATTTTAGTGCGAGAAAAATAAAGGACAGTGAGTGAGTGATTGCTAGTTAAAAGTTCAACTAAAGACTGTGCACAGGTTGAAGTAATGCCAGGATTGTAACCAAGTGATAAGTAACGAAGATGAGTATTATGCTTTAGTGACTGAGCAAGTGTGGTAACACCATCATCACTGATAGTGGTGCTAGTCAGCCACAGACTCTCTATAGTATTGTTGTTTGAAATTGATGATGATAAGGAGCAAATAAAATCATGTGTCAGCGGGGTTGAAAAAATGTAAAGACATCGAACAGTTTTCCTCTGCAACAATGGTGGGATTAGCAATCCTGCAATGCTAGAAGATGACTCTCTAAGATGAATCTGTTGATGTGCATCCTGCAGTTTTGCTAAAAACCTCTAAGCATTGTTGTCATTTTAGGCATAATGAACAGGCTTTACCCCGGCTATTCTCAATCCTTGGTTAGCTGTATTTTGATCAGAGGCTTTATCTTTAAGGACAACTTTTAACTTCTCAATCTCAATGTCTTTCTTTTTACTTATTTGCTGCAAGGTTTGTACCTTCTCATCTAAATGCATTATGTAGGTAAACTTACTAATAGAATATATGCATACTAATTACCTGATGATAATCGTGATTCTAGTAGTGACTGTAATTCTTGTTTCAAAGACATAATTTTTTTCTGCTTACCTAATAGATCTACAGATGCAATTGAACAATTTTGATAAGTTGATCGTCAATTGGTATGCAAGCCTTAGAAAAACTTTTCTGAAAGTGATAAATCACTGCCAAAAATTTCATTTTCATTTGCTCAAATTTTTCTTTCATCACTTTGTGATGCTCAACCATGATCCTGTTGGCATGATTTATAATCCAGGAACAAGAGAATGGAGCATGGAAGATGATGCTACTTCTGTTATGTACTTTCAACTGCAGGTAGCTATAAAGAAACTAACACTCAAAGACAAATAATGATTATTAAGAAAAGTAAAAAAATTACAACAAATGCAATAACAATAGACCATGGCTTCAAAATGATTGAGGGTTAATGTCTTTAAACAGACACAAACTAAAAATCAAAAATGAAACAAACAGACACAAGCAATGAAAACTTCATTCAAACAAAAAATAAATGTTTAAGCAAGGCTCCTGATATAACTTAAGTGATAGAAATAATTATCTTCAAAATTTCAACCTGCTGACACCAGGGAATGATACTCTGTGTTGCTCATCTAATACAAGCCATTTCAGTATATCATTGAACTCAAGTGACCTCACCAGTATGCGTGCTCCAAAGATATTAATAGTAGTATGGGAGAGAGAGAGAGAATGGAGTGTTCTGTTTGCACATAAAAGATCAGCCAGTGATTGACAACTTTTAGCAGTAATGGAATAGTTGAAATCAAGTGACAAAAACATAAGAGTTTTATTATTCTTCAATGAGTGTGCCAAGATTTTGACACCTTCATCATCAATAGTTTCATGGGTAAGCCATAAGCAGTGTAGTGTTAAATTGTTGGCCAGGAGCAATGAAAAGTAGTGAACACAATCTTGCTTTAAATAAGTCGAACATACACTGAGACACTTCACAGCTTTTCTTTCCAAAAGAGGTGCTATTAGTGACTCAAAAGTATCAGAAGACAAGTTTTTGAGAAAAAGGTGTTCATGTTCATCTGGAACCTCCATGCATTGCTTCAAAGTGATACACTGTCCCTCAATATTGGCATCTTGGGCTTCTGTATAAAAATTCATTGATTCCTTAACATAAATTTATAAATATACCAGTAGCCTCGCAAAGTTCCTTCTGAAGCTGATCCACATCTTGTAAAAGTTTCTTTAACTCACTTTCAAGAGCTACCAAAAATTATGTTCGGGTTATCAATAAAATAATTATCATACCTTTTATTCTGTCTTCTTTTGCTGCTACTCTTGCTTTAAGAGCATCATTGTCAAGCATCTGTGCTTTTTTCATTTTTCGTCTTGCATCTAATTCTAAAGATAGATTAAAATAACAATCACAGGTAGAATCATGATTAATGGCTTTGCCCAAGCTTTGCGCAGGTATTGCCAGGTAAGAACTAGTAATAGTCTAGTTACCTCTTTCTTTCTCAGCCAAATGTTGCTCCAGTTCTGTAGTGTGCAAACAGTCAATGCAAGGTTGCTTGAACAGTATAATACTGACATACCTTTTATTGTATTCCTTAATTTTTCTCTTTCTCTTTTGATTGCCTTCATTAGCTGTGGTAGCCTTTCTTCAATATCAGCATATATTTTTTCAAGCCCATCATCTATTTCAATATCTATAATGGCAGTTGCTATCAAAGTTTATGGCATTGTGTAAAACTCAGCTCATGCAGTGACTAATGTTACCTTGAATTGATGACGTCTGTATCTTAGATTCATTTACTACCATCATTTCAAGTTTACTACTGCCTTGAGCTGTTGCTGTCACAGGTAGTGCATCTACAGTATTGTATAAAAACAAGATTAATTGTTCATAATGAGATCAGTATACCATGCAACTGTTTAATGTATTCCAACTTACAAGGTCCTAATACAGTCACAGATTCCCCTGGATTCTCAGCAACAATTGGGAATTCAAAAGAGTCATTTAGCTGATCACTCATAGTGAACTACATCTGTACACCAGGCACCAAAAAAGTAAACAAGAAAGATTCAGTGAATCTGGTACATGTACTTCGTGCTACAGGAGTCAAATATTTTCTACCGCAGTTAGCGTCCTCTCTAGTCACCAGGCTTGCAATTTCATGTGGTCTAAGCTGTGTGTGGTGGTGTGATCCAAGTTGTACACATAATCATAGAGACTATAAATTTAGAAAGACAATTCATGACTGAAATCAACAAACACAAAACAATAGTCTTGCATAATGATGTATAACAAATCACCCTATGCAAATCTAAAATTTGTGTGTGCATGAAGTATGAACATTGTTTTTTAATGACATTATGCTGGGATCTAAATGGTTAGTAGTTTCCTTAAAAATAATTTTAATAAAGTAAAATTAGGGTCAAATTATTATTCATAGAAAATGCAAAATGGCTATGAAAATAATATAAAATCAAGTACAAAACAAAAAATTAATCTACAGGGTGGGATTAAATTGATAATTTGATATTGTAATGCTATGCACTCAGTTTAATCATGATACAACTTTAGTTGTTCCAAAATTTTCATAAGCAGTAGTAGATTTGTAAGAAAAGTCTAGTCTGCCAACAAATTGAGAACATATTGCTTTGTGTTTCTGATCTACTACAAGCTTTCCGAGTTTCGTGTTGAACTTAAGAGAGTCAACCAGATCCAGCACTCCATCAGCATCAATGCTAGTATTAGAAACATCAAGAACAGACAATGTGCAGTTGCTACATATAAGGTCAGCAAGTAATGGAACACTGAGTGAAGTAATTTGAGTATTAAACTCAAGAGATAAGTACTGAAGTTTCCTGTTAGGTTTTAATGATTGCACTAGAGTAGTGACCCCAACGTCACTAATGGAATTGTGATTGAGATACAAACTCTCTAATGTATCATTACCCGAAATTTGAGATGAGAAAAAGTCAAAAAATTGCTGTGTTAAAGGAGTTGAGAAAATATATAGACTCCTAATATTTTTGATTTGCAGCAGAGGTCCCACTAGCAACTGAGCAATACTGGAAGATGAATCACTGAGGTAAACGTGTTGATGTTTGTCCTCTATTCTTGTTAGGACATCTTTACACTGTTCTGCTGATGGAGAGGTAAGGTGCACTTCAAAACTACCCCATTCTATCACAAAAAATAAATACAATAATAGGTTGCTAAATGTACATAAGTGTGCTACATTGTTACTGTGTTGTATTTTAGTGTAATGTTTAAATTAGACAAATACTATATGACTTACTTATATCTTGCTCTCTCCTTTCAAGCCTAGCTCTTAAATTCTCAATTTCAAGGTCTTTCATTTTACTGATCTTTTGGTGCATTTTTAATTTCTCTTGTGATTCTATGGTCATGTACAGATTAACACAAGTAAAATACAATAAATTACCAAAAATCTCTTCTTCTTTACGACGAATAAAAGCTTTCAACTCTTCAATCTCAGAATTAAATTCTGCAGTATTTTATATATATATTTGATTCATTAATGGTTCCTACCATTTTCCTTATCTTTGATGGATAATTTCATTTTGTCCTCAATCTCTTCATGTATAGTGAAGTTAATAATAAATTCTAATTAAAATAATAAATTTTTACCAATAATCTTTTCTTCATTACTAAGAATGGTAGCTTGCAACTCTAAATTATAATATAAGATTAATACAACAGTAAACAATCCTTACCACTTTCCTTCTTTTCAATAGTGGCATTTAAAGTCTCAATCTCAGAGTCCTTCTTCTTCACAATATCTACATGTACAGCGAGGTGAATAATGATTCTTTTTCTTTTCATACTGTTTAGCTTTTCTTCATTAGCTCCAAGATTAGCTCGCAACTCTCGAATCTCAGAATTTAATTCTATTCAATTCAGAACAAAATATGAACAACAGTAAATGATTCCTACCACTTTCCTTCTCTTTTAAATTCTCAATTTCATAATCTTTCATCTTCATTCTATGCTCAGAATCTATAAACATACAATGAATGTGGTTTAAAATACATTATTTTTATAATACCAGATGCAGGTACATGTGATTGGTTTTCTTTTGGTTCCACCATAGCTATATCCTTTCCTGACACAAAGCTTCCAGGTTTCTTATCCAATTCCGCTTGTTTGCCTATTTTTAAAGAAAAGAATGACTCCACATCAATAATTAAGTGTGACAAAAATAAAGGTTGGTTTACATTTATTACGTTAGGCCAGCGTTCTGTTAATTTTTAATCAAAGTGTGGGCAATTTGACCTTTTGACACATGCTTACTGTTAGAATACAACCAGATCCTATTCGAGGATCAGGTTAGCATAATATCTGTAATATTGTCAACCAGCCTTATAGAATTGATAATACAATATCAAATATAATAACTAACAATCTGCTGCCTCATAAGTGTCATTGAGATGCCTTTCAAAATTTTCAGCAGCATCCTGTTTAGCTGGATCTTTCCTCAATCCTTCCAGCAATTGTCTCCTGCTCGCAGTAGGAGTCTTCAACCACAACTCGAGGAGTGATACGGGTTTTCCAGCGATAGTACCCCTTGGTAGCTGATATATAGCATCTTTGGTCAGTGCCAGTATTACTCCTAACATAAGCCATTCGTTTTCAATATCGATATAAGCAATAACTTCTTGTAGTGGTGGTTTCTGATCCAAGAATTCCTCGTAAGTGAGATCTTTGTTACAGACCATTTTCAAGAGCAACCCGAGGGGTCCGACACACTCGGGAATCCAGTACTCTCCTTGGAATCCAAATAGAACCCAAGATTGTCAGAAATTTAGGCAGTATCCGGAGTTATACAAGAATTTTTGTAGTATACTATTTGAAATCCAGATATCCCGTACAAAATTTGAGTCCGTGTCGGACCCCTCGGAGCAACCGATTTTAAGACCGCACCCGGCACTGATTATACAAACAAAATTATCATAACATTATAATTTTTTTAAATAAAGAAATTGACATGTACCAATAAAGAAAACTAGAAGAGGAGGATACAATTAATTTAATACTATACTATTAGTTATATGATTCATTAAAAACACAAACTAATCACAACGAGTACAGTATAATAACTAGGAGTTTATAAAGATTCATTCCCATACTCCCATACTCTCATGCCTGAGTGGCCTGGAATATTGGAGGCTGATACTCCCTAACTTGTCTCTGAAGTATATCACTGCTAGATAAATGTTTGTTTAATATAACAAAAATTTGATTATTAAGATCACGATAGACTTTGATACGCTTTATCATCTGCTTAAGATCCTAAAAGAAAAGGAGAGAAAAGAAATGATACTGTATTTATAATGTAATACATTCATGTACATTGTAAGAAAAATAGTACCCAAAGTCCAAAGATGCTTAATCGCCTTTTCCCTTTCTTCTCCTCTCTCTCTCTCTCTCTCTCTCTCTCTCTATCCTCTCCTCTTCTATTTCACTCACAATTCCTTGTACATTTCCATCTTGTCCATCAAACTCATGAACACGAAGCAAGTGATAAGAGAAGTCCAAAGAAGCGAATCTCTTCTCTTGAGCTAACAGAGTCCTGATGACA